AGTTAAATCTGAATAGGTATTTATAAGAGAAGAAAAGGATAGAATATATAGAAACAGGAAGGATAATATGAGTTAGTGTATATTTAATAGATTAGTAAATAGGTTTTGAAAGAAGCAAAGAAATAGCTTAGAGGAGAATAGCAAATAGATTTTTACCACAAAGTGTATGAATAAACTACTCCCTATATTAGAGAAAAGATATCTATTTCATCCTGATCTATATAAAAACAGTATTTGTTCTAGATGCCAAGGTGAAAAAGAAATTTTCAAACATCTACTAATCTGTATTTTAGATGAAGAGAAATAGAAAGAATTAGAAAAGGAAGTCCTAGATAAACTAGAAAAACCTTTTTAAAGGCTTGAAATATCCAAAACCCAAAAAAGAAAAATTAGCAAACTCCTTTTTCCTACAGAACCTACAAAAATTTACTTCCAAAAGCAAGAAACTTCAAAAGGTTTTATACGAAATAAACTTATCAGAAAACTTCTCTTGATAGGAATTACAAAAAGAGGATCTAAACTGATACTAGAAACATAGCTCAAAGAGTGAATAGAGAGCTTCCGCCAAAAAATATAGAAAGCCAGATGCAAAGAAATTATAACTTGAGAAAAAGAAAAAAGAATTTCAAAAAGAAAAAAAGAAGTAAAACAAAACAGAAAACAAAAAAAAGTGCATTAATACATACAGAACTGATAATAAAAGAAAAAGAAACTAATCCCTCAATATAAGAAATAGCATTTAATGAGATAGAAATCTGGATTCGTACAGGATATATAAAATCCTAGTTAATGTACTAAGATAGTCATGATAGGTTGAGAGCCAGGTTGGCTGATAAGGAGATTGTAATTGAGAATTTTAAGAAGGAATCAAAGAAATAAATAAAATTTAAAATTTTTTCTTTAAAATTTTAAGTATTTAAGATATAATAATAAAAATTATTTGTTTTTTCAAAAAAAAAATAGGGTTAAAGAAAATCAAGAAGTTATCGATAAAGAAATTCAAGAAGTTGAAGTATTAAAAAAGAAATTAAAAGAACTTGAAGAAACAATCAATAAAAAGAATATAGAAGTATTGGAAAGTAATCGACAAAAATATAAGTTGGGAAAAGAGTT